AGTTAATCATTTAAGACTGAACTACTATTGCCAGGAAGTGATCAATATCCTATCTGCTACAAATAGTACCTAACCCTCCCATAATGAGGTTTTTGGTGAATGAAAAATGCTACCTCTCTGGCTGCGAGGTCTGGTGCAAAGGTCATGGTGATCAGGTGTGAGGCTAATTGTAAATATCTGAGATAACTTTATGCTGCTCTTTCTTTCAGAGGTTTTGTGAGCACATGCAAATGCTATGGTCAAATTAATTGATATTTCAATTAGGCTCATACCTGATTGATGTACCCTTCACAAACATCCCTGAGGGAACACACAATATACCAAAATCAATGTGAATTTAAGACAACAATGATCTACTTTTTGTAAATACCTTTCCATAATTTAGTCTAATATTGATATCAGTGTTCTGGATGTCCTGAGATGTAAATTTTTGTTATCATGTCTAAGGGACATGTCTGCAATTAATCCTACAGAGGGTGGCATTAGCTGTGATATCCATTATACTGTAGTTATGAATATGTCATGTTACCACAATGTTTTTGACAGTCTTTCATGGTGGGAAGTGAGTAATGATGAAAGTTAGTAATTTGTGAATAATAATGGCAAATGTAATACATTAATGAATAAACTTCAGAAATAGAGAGAGAGAAAAACAACAACAACATAATTTCTAACTGGTGTAGAAGTGCTCGTCCTCTGTATTTCATACAAGAAAGTACAAAAATGCAGAGCAGGAAATCCAAATTACTACTTGTAAAGTACACAGATAAACAATAAGAAACATGCAATTCACCAAAATGGGTATCACAGTCTGTTCTCTTAACATTTATTATAGGGTTCTAATAAAGCAAGTTAATTACAAAACTACATGGATACTTTGAATGACAAAGGCATATTATCAAATGCACATACAAAATTGTCAAGATAACACAATATTAACCAAGATAATGCTCATATGAGATTTTTGCCATTACTTATACAGTTACAGTTTTCTTTCCTTCCCCATACAAAATAAAGAAACAAACATGATAAAAGGAAATATCAGACATCACCTAACACCTTGCTGTGGAAACTGATATTATTACTAGCCACTACCATTTCCCAAGAGATAAGACCACAAACTGTTATGCCTGACATAATGTGCTGTCAGTATTCCTATGAGTTAATATATGACATCTAGCATGCTGTGCAATAATAGGATTTGTCTTTGTGCACCTTACATAGAAGCAATGATCCAGTTTCTACTCTTCCTTCTCCTTGGGATTAACAAACTATATATTTCATAGCATTTTAAAGTGTAAAATGGCTGACAAGATGCATTAGTGCTAATGCAGTGTTAACAGTCTTTATTCCATTTTAAAATATATATATATATAGTGCACTTTTGATAAGACATCCAACATCTTCCGTTTATGTTTCTGTGATGTATATCAGTCTCATAGAAGCTATTTTGTATGATAGCAGAATATGTTTATCTAGTACAGTGGTTCCCAAACTTTTTCTGGTCGTTACCCAATTTTCATACAGGATACAGGATATCCTCAGATTATGGCCTCCTGCATTCTGCTATATGGCCCCCCAGGGGGCCAAGGCCCACAGTTTGGGAACCACCGATCTAGTATGACTATATATATATATATATATATATATATATATATATATATATATAAATATATATATATATATATAAAATATATATATATATATATATATATATATATATATATATATTTTTTTTTTTTTTTTTTTTTCTTTCTTTTTCTTTTTTGCATTGTGTCTGCAAGAAACAGGCTGATTTAAGATTTTATCAGATCAGTTTACATGACATCCCTTGTCTTGATTCTTAGAGAAATAGAAAACCTAATACACCTTACCAACAGTTTTTAGACTTAAAGAGAAAAACCTTTCCAGTCTTTGGAACTGTCTTATTTTAGCCTTACCAAAGCCATTTCTGAGTATCCTTTTAGTTGTAAACTTTTCTTGTTGTTTGCTCAGTCCTTTTGTAAGTCCTGCGGTTGTAAGCAGGCCTAGTGTACTGATTTTTCTCATAGGTGTTGTAAACACGTGAACTGCCCTGATTAGGGGAGCCAGCTGAGATCCAACCTTCAGACCTCCCTCCATGAGACCCGCCTGAGCTCCAGCTGCTAGAACTGCTTGAGCTCCAACTGCTAGAACTGCCTGAGCTCCACCCACCAGAATTGGCTGAGTTCCGTCCCTCAGTGGAGTGCCTTCCTCCACCAAAGCTGTTTGACCAGGGATGGAGGATTCAAGGGCAGTCATCAGCAAGACGTACTACTGATAAGGGCTAAGCAGCGTCCTTGGACTTTTAGTTAATTCTGACAGGTTAACTCAAAATGGTAAGGGCATGATGCAAAAGGACAATAAATGCAGAAGCAGGTGATATACAAAGAATAACAAAGCTTTTGCACTGCATATTAGCACTGAGTGTCACAAGCTTTCTTTCTGATTTTCACTACAAAATAGAGAATCTTGATGAGCA